TTCGGTCCACGCTCGCGCCTGGCACCTCTCTTCGTGCAACGTACAACGACGTATCGCTCTGTATACCTGTCATGGATTCCGAGGATCGACCGCGGCCGCCGCGGGCACGCGTGATCGCGCGACTCCCTGCGTGAAGAAGTGTGTCACGCATCGCACGCACGTCGACACGCGAGGACGTTCCACGTAGGCAACGCTACCCGACGTACACGAGGTAGCGCATATACGGGACGAGATCGTCGTCGTCATCGTCGTCGTCGATCATGAGCGTCGCGGTGTCGTCGCGCGGAGGAAGAAGGTGCCGTCGCCGCTGGTGAACGACGCTGAGAAGAGGACGACGCTATAGGGGACGACGCGCCGACGCGCACCGGGAGGCGCGCCGTGCCGAAATGATCGCCCTCGTCGACGAACAATCTGTTCTCATTCGGAGCACGGACCTTGTAAGTATCTTCTTTGCATGCTGCTCTCTCCACAACCCGACGACGCTGTGTCGCGCGATTCTCTTTTTGCGTTTAATAAATAATCTAGAATATTTCTGCGTTAAGTAGGAAGCTACAGGTATAGAAAATACTTATAAACATATGTATATATATATATATATATATATATATGTGTGTGTGTGTGTGGGTGTGTGTATATAAGTAAGAACATGTTTCTAAAATATAGAAGATGAGCATACATGCGATGCGATCGTCGTCGACTTCATCGTAGTCGCGAATTCTCGCGTGGTGGTCCTCGCGAGCGCGAGCAGTTTTATGGGTGCCGCTATTTTTAGCGCACACACCCGTAAAACCGCGGTTCGCCCGCCATCCGTAAGGGAGGAATCTCGCGTTTTACACGTGCGGCGGACATCCGAGCAGTATTCCGAGGCGGATAACGATCGCGACAGATAACGTTCTTCCTCCTCGCGCTTTTGTCGAAAATGCCGATGAATCGTTTAACGTGAAAATTCATTTCACGACGCGGTAGATTTATTCGATTTTCATCGATCCGAGAGAGCAAGCAAGTTTGATTAATCGGGAACTTATATTGCAACGTCGTATTTTTAGCTGTTATTCCGCGCGAAACGTGTATTTGTGTATTAAAATAAATATATTTCGAATTATAAAAGTAAAAACAGATATATAAAATGAGAAATTAAAAATTTGTAAGGCCATCGCTCTTTTATAAGCAAATTAAATATCTTTCTATTTTTAAAGATCAGTTTATACGAAGACTTTTAATAACACTCGTTCCGATTGGAATTGAAAATATCAATAATATTGTGTTTAGTCTGCTATTGCATTGATACCTAAGATACAATGTTGATATTTTGCAAAGTTTACACACGAAATTTTATTTGTCAAGGATGAACACGATGATTTTTATGAAAAATTATTTCCAGTGGAAAAGCTGGAGTTACGTCTCAGCTTTAAAAGAGCTTCATATGTAAGCTCGAAATCTTATCGCGGGTATAATTTCTGTGTATTTAGTTTACAAGGCTACACAAATAATGAAAATAGATAAGGAAAATAAGCGTTATATAAATCCCATCGTGTTTTTGTTGCCTCAGAGACGAATCTGGAACGTAAACATGAATAAAACATAAACTACAGGTTTTATCACATCACATTATCACAATGTATGATATATTTTATAGAAAAATATTTGATAATTGTGTTTTAAATTATATATCGCATTTTTAGAAATTAAAAAAATGCATTTGTTTATTGAGAGTTACTTAATTACGTTGGTAAGATTATTATGCTTTCCGAATTTTCGAAGCTCTTGATTGCAAATAGATATAGAAATTATTTTTGCATTTCTACTTGAAATTTAAATTTATTTTACTTTTTTTTCCTCTCTGATAATTTCCGTGTTAATGTTTGACAATTTGACGAAGATTAATTTCTTTAATCTAAGAGAAATCTGCCGTTTTCCTTTTCATAATGCAAACGTCATAGATGTTAACGCAGAGACGCCGTAATCTTCTCTAACAGCAGCTGCGTGGTAAATACATCCCTTAAGGGCTCTGGAAGACCTTGTGAAGGATAATATTTTCAGAGTACAAAATTAATCTTTTGGTCTTATTGCCTTGACTTATTGAAGCGAGAACTCTTTTCTCGGGTTTTCATGCTATGTAAATCTCTTGGATCGGGATAAGGGATGATTGAAAATTAAACATTTATAGAAAAATTAATCTTTGTTTAATAATTTTTAATTTAAATTTGCATTCAAACACGTATATTTATCAGTCACTTTTAAAAGAGAAAGAAGTTATCGGTGATATCGATACGATTTAATGTAATATCAGCGCGTAAGCCAACATATTCGTTATCTCGACTCATCGTAATCAGTTGTTATCAAGAGTGGCATGCCGTGCGTTTCCTGCCGCCTGGGATTCTGACGGCACGTTCGAAAACGATAGTAACTAGTTGCATAACTAGAATCATGCCCGGGAACATCACTTTAGACTACATCTGACTCCTAACTAACTGTTTGGAAACTGATGTTCACTCTCGAATACAACTGACATGTCAAAAGTGATGCGCGGTTGTTGATTACACTAAATCCCTAATGTTCAGGAAGATATTTTGCAACGAAACGCTAATCTTTTGCCTAAATGTTTATAACAAAATAATATGTTTTTTTTTCAAAGTGAATATAAGATGGAGTTTACTCGATATACATATTTAATCATTATTATAAAATATAAATTAAGAAAAAAAAATTATAAGTATCGATTTTGTCATATTAGAGACAATTATTTTGTCGTAATATATTTGTCTAATATTTTGCATTATTTTACTTTATATAAAATAAAATAAAATTTATATATATTATTTTGAAATAAATAAGAAAACTGTAAGCAAATGGAATTTTTTAAATCGTTGGGGAAAAAATATTCAAGTGAAAATTTTCTAGTCGACCTTTTCGATGCGTGGCATGTCTTTTTCGTTGCTCGCGTGCGTTTTTTAATATCGTGCTCGATAAATGTCAAATTGCTACAATTTCCGAGGCACAGCGGTTTTGCTTTTGGAAGATGGGCACAACAACATGTGGACGCCTTGAGATCGATCGATCTAAACGCGTATACGTGGCCACCTACATACTTGCGCGATTTCCTGGTTAACGGTATAACATCACGAAACTGATATGCATTGCACGCTATGCCTAAAGAATTTTATGTCGGTGGTGAAAGAGCGATGAGGGAACGTGTCACATATTCTCTTTATATCCATATGTCATTATTGACGTGTCAGATTTTATTCACCGATTGGTGTTCCTTTTTCATTCACGTCATTCCTGGCATGTTAGATTTTATTCTACGAGAAGAAAGCCACCCCACAGGCGAGAGAGAAATTCTATATTATTTCTACAATATGCTTTTATAATGAATAAATTTAATCAAGTTTGCTTTTATTGTGCACGTATAACATATGTAATATTGACGTGAGAAAGCTTTTTTTCATCTTAGTTTTTAAACATTTTTTTTTCAAAATAAAATGTTTTGATCATCTTGGGTGTTAATTTAACTTGGAAAGCATGGTTTACAGATAATAAATTCTGGGATTACACGTGACACAGCACACAGTCTGGCAAAGGATTACATGTGACAAGTGTAATCCACAGCGTGTATTAACAGGTACATTTAATTTTGTTCATATAAGGTACACCTATCCGGTTTTGAAAAGAAATTTTTTTAGTTTTATACAGAGGTTTCATACATTTTTTACATATAATAGCAATTTATTAGACTATCTAGATAGAGTATGTGTGTTTCACGTTGAAGAGAATGGCGTAAATATCACTTAACAAACACACAAAAAAATGTATTTTTTAGCCGTTTTTTCGTTGCTACTATTTTATTTTAAATCTGCAAAGACAAATTCAAAAACATTACAACAACAACAAATTTAATTTTACACTTTTATTAACTACGTTTAATCACAAGAGATAATTCCATATCATTTAAAAAATTAAATAGTTCAAATTTTTTAGGAAATTTTTCTCTAGTCTCCTTTATCAAATCTTGCAACTTCTTCTCGAGTTACATACTGAATCCGCGAATCTCCAGAGCGTTCTTCGTGATCATTATGCAAATGGTCGCGACGATTTGGTTTCGCGAATGGGACTCCGAATCGGCCGATTAAACCCGGGTCTTAATCCCATGGCAATTGAGGGACGGGTACATAAGTCTATACGGTAAAAGTTGTATGCTCAACATGCGGTGGGATAGCAGCAGGCATCCTCCGCGTGTGAATGCACCGACGACGCGACGGTTCTATTATTACTACCACACGTGCCGTTGTACTGGCAGATATCCGCTACGCGCGCGCTCGATACGGCTCCATACATGAATGGCCGCGATATTTACTCGCCTTTAACATTCAACCTGTATATTTAATATCTATTGAAAGTACACCAAGCGAATGACATTAATTCTTACTAAAATACACGGTGTGCATTTATCACACATAGAGTGCGTGATGAGACGTAATGTCATCGCGACTCTAAAACGCTCTTCGGCTCTCGGGTTATATCAATATCATATAGCACAGTTTCTATTAAAAAAAAAAAAAAAAAAATTGAAATAAAACGAACAAAATCTAAAATTTATTTTTTCCATCGTATGTTTTTTTATCACCGACGATTCTTCAATATTTCATACGCCTCCGCAGAGAGAGATGTAATATATTCGTCATCTTTTAAATAGAAAAAAGGAATAAAGATTGCTTATAATAAATATATACGACGATCTCTACGATATAGAATACGAGCGACATACGGAAGATAGAGGTAAAAATCTTTTTATTAATTTTTTTCTTTTACGCAATAGATACTATCAGAAGTTTTCTTTGTTGTAAACCGTTAGAATTGTTACTTGTGTTGGAATTGGCAACGATGCAGGTCAAGCTTTGCCGAGCAGACCAATGATAGTGGGCCAAGAAATCCATTTATGACAATGCCTGCCAACTTAAGTGGTTCCGCGGAGTCTAGGAAGATGAATAATCTTGCTGTCTCACGTGAAAATTCGTGTATAGTCATTTAAATGAAAGTAAATGTCCGAAATTTGGTCAGTTGATTTTTCGATAACTTGAAGCTTTTGGTTTTTACCTTACGGTAGATTAATTCCTGGAAAATTATTTTCTCTACGAAGATTAGTCGAATGAGATACAAATTATAGCTCTTTTTCATTTAAGATTACTATCATAATAATGTTTGGAGTAGTTCCAAATCGTAGATGTGTTGTTTGTTTCTTATTTTGTGTTGCCAACATAGAGACAAAATCAGCAACGACAAATAGTTTTGCAAAAACATATGGCTGTGTGTTTCTAATTTATTAATTCTCTACAATATTAATTATTTTATCGATATTTCGACTATTTGCAATTAGCTTATATATATAAATAATTCATAAATTAAATCATGCATTAACAATGTCTTTTTTCCAAATTTAAAAAGCTGCGCTTTATAAAAATAAACCTTATTAAGAAATATCTTTTTAGCGCGGTTATCAGTTCCCCACAAACTTCCATTTCACGGCGTATCACGCGACACGGGCATAAATGGTTTTGAACAAAACCCATCCAATTTTAAGCCGCGATCCCTTCGAGATCTCCTGTTGCTACGAGCTCGGAGATCTTGAAAACAAATCCCTTTGTTCGAATGGGTCGAGAAAACGTGAAAATCGTGCTGGACTTTAAACTAGGATGACAAAATTGTAGCAGTTCGAGGCCAAGAACGTTTTGTGTTCATCCTATGTAATATAATATACTAAATATATCCATGAATGTATCTAAAAATATTTTAAATTTTTATTATTTGTTCTACTTTGCTATTTTAGAAAATTATACGAATTTTATTTAAATCTAGTTAAAAGCATATTTTTTCTTTATATGACCAACTCGTTAACACGAATTAAAAACTGCGAAGTAGCAAAGTCATTCAACGAGATGACGTGTCTTTAAATTAAATTTGTCGGACAAGATTGATCGATCTTCCGCTACGAGCATAAACGCTCGCTGAAAGAAACGAGATATACATTAGAGTATTGAATGTGCAACGAGCCATTATTTAAAAGCCGGCAGCTTCTGGAGCTGACCCTTACTTTAAACCGCGCACACGCCCGCTACTTCGTGTCGGCGAGTTGTGTACCATAAGAGTTACCTATTAAAAAAGAAGCAGAGAGAGAGAGAGAGAGAAAATCGACGTTCGTTGACGATGTCGGCAGAAATAATCTCATCGATTCGTCTTCCGGAAGAAGCCACGCCGGTACGCTCTTGAGCTCGCGCATTTACGAACGAAGGCGGACGTGTAGATCCGCTTCGGGCGGCGGCGGTAGCGGGGAAACGGACGGGCGGGTAGGATCATCCCTTAAAACGACAGCTTTAATATCAGCCTGGGTGTGTTTGTGTGCGCGCAGGAGGAGCAGGCGACAGCGGACGGGTGGGAGCTTTAAGAGTCGGCGAACGTGTCGTGCTGAAGGACGACGCGCTTAACGTCGTCGTCGCCGTCGTCGAATAGACGAGAAGAGAGTACGCTCTCTCATAATCGGCGTGGGCAGATTGACAACCGGGTGGTACCGGGCAACGAGGATGAGGCAAGTGGTCGTGCTGGAGCCGGCGGGCAGCGTGCTGGTCATCAGGCAGACGTCCCTGGGCAACAACGGCGGAAACGTCGGCACCAATTCAACGGGCACCAACGACACCCATGCCTTGGTCAATCACGCCGCCGTCCCCACGATCGCCTCCAATGACCACAATCAGAACAGGATCGTCGTGGTGCGCTCATCTACCTCGTCCACCTGCATGACCAACTCGGTGAGAACATAGCACGACTTTTACACGTGTATAATTAACGAACCGCAAGTTGTAGACTGGTTTAGCTTGTTCGAGAAGGCTCTTGTTTATGTTTACTTTCTGTTTACTTTCCGTGTGCTTTGTTACAAAATACGGACTCTGATTATACAGCAACTGAAACTGCCAGGAAACTGAATTTATATACGTATTATGTTTGAATCCATTTTACTTTTACGAGTCTTTTACGAGAATAAATTCTGGCGTAGAATTGAGATTTTAATTCAAACATTGAGCAGAATTTAAAATACCCGAGCGTTCAACTGTCTTAAAAGTTTTATTTTACTATCGATTATCATTGTGGTAAACACTTGACCGCATTTCTCATTTTTTCAAGAACGTTATTTGGAACTTTATACTCAAATACGCGCGCGACAGTGCTATTTCCGAGATACAACGTGGATATCCAATACGAGACTGCAAATCAGTTAATTAATTCTCATTCGGGAGCCGCTGGTAAATTGCTTGACGATGTTACTTCGATTTAACTGCCAGATTAAACGTAGAAGTCGTATTAGGAAAGTTTCTGCTAAAAACGTATCGACGGTAAAAGGTCAAATGATCGCTGAATGCGAGGTCGAAGGTGCGAAAGAAAGGCACGAGATACGAGTATTTCTCGTTCTTTCTCGGTGTAGGACAGATATCTTCAAAGTTAGTCTTGCAACAAAGTACTTATAGGAATAAAAGACTTGCCTTTCCAACCAGCGTAACGCGAAAAAAAAAAGCATTGTCGCTTATATAGCTTTACAATACGAAACGAGACAACTTCAATTACAGCTGGGAATGGGTGGCAGGTGGTACCACGAGCCTCGCCTCGTTCCAATGTAAAGGGTTAAAGAGGATAGATTGCTCCTCGTCGCGAAGGACGCGCCACGATTCAGTATTGCGATTTCATGCAACTTTTTTATTTATATTTATTAATGTCGTATTTATTTGACGGTTTAATCGTCGACTGGTTGATAAATCTTGTACAAAATCGTGCTACTTTTATTTAGTTTTTAGCGTAATTCTATATCTCTTTTAATCAAAATTAAAAAGTTATCAAAAGAAATAATTTATTCTTAACTCAATTATTTGTAACTTTTTCAAGACTTTTCCCTAAGTTTCTAGTGTGTGTATATTCAATTATTCTAGATTTATTTACCGAATAAATTAACCTATTGTCTTTCCAATAACATTCTCGCGACTGACAGAGTCGTTAAAATAGTCTACTCGTTGCGCTTTACGATCGCTTTGTGCTCCGTTTAGGCCGACAATCACGCATCGACCAACGGTAATAACAACATCAACGTTAACGCAAACATCAATGGGAACTCGGGCGGCATCAGCTGCAAGTCATCGCCGAAGGTTGGGGTTGGCGGTGGTGTCTGCAAGCCGAACGAAAGAAACGATCATCTACGGAACGAGTACAAGAGCCAGGACGCCAACAGTAACGAGATGAATCCCGCCGCTGGATGTCGTCCAAGGACGAGCAAGGAAGTCGCTCATGAGAACGTCGCCTCTGACAGGAAGCTCGATGGCGCGGATCCCATCTCCGGTGAGTACTTCCGCCATTATTCACCTGTACCTTTGACAACCCCGAACGATCGTCTCGTAAATTATTTATCCTTGCATTTGAATTAGAAAGAGTTCTGACATATGATATGTCTTACACTCTTCTCTTTGTATAACAAATGTGTATTAATATATTTGAACAAGAATACAGCTGATATCAGTTATAATATATCTTGAAACTGATGAAAAAAAATAATAATTAAATTGTCAAAAAAGTTCACAAAAAGTTGGAAAATTTTTATATAATTTAAAGTGAAATAGAAGTAATACAATTTCGCGTAATGGAGGTATGAGTCTTACTGCATATCAGCATCAATGTCGCGGTAGGGTTCTCGCGATTGTTTGTGTCGTTAGGAAAAGTTTTCAGGCTCGCCTGTCCAAGGCAGCTTTAAGTAGTTCTCGAAAATTATGGCGCTCCCGCACGAAGAGCTAAAACGGCGAAACGAGCGAAGAATTAGCCCCCGCGCATTGAGACTCGAAGAAAATCGCAATGAAGTTTAAAACAAATGCCAGCGTTTTAAGGCGTACGGTTACACTGCCGCATGAGAACGGTGGCACCGGAACGGAGAGAAGCCTGACCAAAGTTTCCACTCATCACGATGGAAACGGAAACTGCACACAAACTGCACTCGAGTTTCGCTCGGAATGACTTTGGGGCCCGTAAACCACGCGATTAGCAGCGAGCGGCTCTGTATGAGGGAACGATAAACTATCGGTTGGACAACTTTTACAGTTTGTAGCTTCCCGGGTAAATTGGCTAAGGAGCAGTGACTACTCTTTAGGACTTTTATCGCGCGGATAATTGAGCGAGATAAGAATATGATTGGCTAAATTTAATACGAATTTTTGTATTAAATTCGGCTCGAGGATGAAACAATCTTCAAATCGATAGTGTAGATATTATAAATGCGCATCATCAAATATTTCGATTTATTTTTAGATTTTAAAATCCTCTTTTATTTACATAAATTTTACATTTTTTAATATTTCTCGATATTTTCAGATGTTCGGTAAATATGAATTTATCTTTTAGAGTTCTTTTTTTTTAGATTTTTGGTCGTCAGCAGTTTTTATCGGTGATTTGGGAATTTTTATTTTTTAGACCTTTTCAGATATGGAAAATCGATTTATATCTCAAATAAAAATTTGTATGTGCAATTAGTGTCGCGACGTAACATTGTAGTAACATCATTTTTTTTTTTTTTCACGTAACTAAATAGTCGCATTTTTTTACAGCTCGTTAAATTGTTTCGTTCAGTTGCAAATGAATTTAACTGTCGTTCCATATCGGAAAACAGTGGTCCGTGTATATAAAACTACTACACGTTGATCCTCGATAATACGTAACGTCGATATTTTTCGCACGGTGTATATGCCGCTGTATATATGTATAGCTCAGAGATAAAAACAAAATATGTAGTTGAAAACCGAATGTAGAAAGCAAATATCCACAATTCACCGAGCTGGATTATTCCCTTCCTATCTGGAGAGATTGCGAAAACAATATCGATCGCTATACGCTGAAAATCCGCTCTGCGAAGGAGATCTAGAGCCTCTCATCCTTAAATCGTCCCACTTATCGTCGTACTCATTTTTCGAGAATCGCGATCTTTTCCAGAGTGAGAATTATCGATCGGCATTACGAAAGCACGTGAAGGAAATGGCAATGAAGTGGCCCGAATTTTTAAAGAATAAAAAGACATATGTTTTCTATCCATAAATCATTTTAAGACATCTTTAAACAACTTTAAGAAAAATAAAACAGCGATTTTTATTTTCTGTTGTAACTATCATTATTAATTTTAATCTTAATTTTTTAATTTAACCTTTGTGTTTGAATATTACAACAAAACTTTTGCACTACTTTTCCATGGAATATACAAGAAAACTATCACGTACAATATTCTGATGTGAGATTTCTGTTATGGTTGTCTCTACTTTTCTCGAAAATGAATTTTTCCGTCTATGATTTCGTTATGTTTTTCGTTTATACCTTCCGAGGACTTTATATATCCACCCACGTACATCTGTCCCCTGCCGTGAAGAGGTTTCGGCTCATTTCCAGAATCTGTTGTATGCATCGCGCAAAGATGCATTTCGACTCGTATGGCATATGTATATACTTACCGGGCTGCAGACACAGTCGCGGTTCTTCTATTCTTTGAGCAACATTTTCCATAAAGGGCACTCGTGCATGAATCCGATTCCGAATATAAATAGAAGGAGCGAGTCGAACGCGAAGAGAGAAGGAGAGAACCGCGAAAATAGAGAGCCGTGGAAAGTAGTTATCGTTTGATGTGCGGTAAGTACAAGACGTGGATGCTAGCACTAAAACGTCGCGCGAATTTCGAGAGATGACAGTTTTTACGATCGCCAAGTTCTAACGACACGGTGAAACTCGACGACAACTCGCGGAAGCGGTTAGCCGTACAGAAAAAAAAAAGAAATCGAACGCTTATTGCAACACACTTTGCGCTTAACGCGGTTAGTTAATACAAAGTTTAATTGAAATTTTAATTGAAAATGTAAGTAAACATTTCATCGCAATGTCCGATACACACACACATCATGTTTGACGTTACCAAAATATTTATCCGATTAAAATCTGATGTAAAACTATAAAAATATTTATAAATTTTTAAGCTTATTTTTTTAAAATTAAATATAAAAATTATTGCAATAATAAATATAATCGGAGCTATTTGTATGTGTATGTAAACATACTTAATTGATTCGTTTTTCCAAAAATCAATATGCGAAGTCGCGAATTATTTTTCGATATTTCTAACACTTTCTCGTAAAAGTTTGATGTATGGCTAGGCATTTTCTGTATCGTGACCGGCTTTTGTGACGCACGAGACCTTCTTTATCGTACCCCTTATTTATTACCGACCTTGTTATTTATTGTTAGTGCCACATAGGCTGGGAAAGTTTCTCTTTGGATCTATGGTTTTCCGATGCACATAGACTTTAACCCTTCGTAGTTTGCGTCGCGTTTTCCTCTGAGATATGTTCATCACTGAATATGTAATAATCAAAACTATTACAATCGGAGAAATATTAAAGACTGAGGATAATTTTTTTATTATTATTAATATTTTATTTT